AAAATACTGGGGAAAAAAACCAAAAGAGAATATCTGATAACTGTGAACACCTACAAAATGTGTAATATGCATAGTAGGAATATTAAAAGGATAAGAAAGAAAAGAACAAAAGAAATATTTGAAACAACAATGTCAAAATTTTCTCCAAATTAATGCCACACACCAAACCACAAAATCAGGAAACTCACAGAACACCAAGAAGGACAAATGCCCCCAATCCTATACCTAGGGATATCATATTCAAACTTTAGAAAATCAAAGATAAAGAAAAATTCTTGAATAAAGCTATGGGGGTGATGGGAGTGTGTGCAGGGAACTTTAGTTATAAAGGAGCAAAAAATTACATGCAACTGCTCCTTGAAACACACGTAAGCAAGAAGAGAACAAAGCGAAATGTTTAAAGTGATGAAAGAAGAAAGCCTAGAATGCTGTACCCTGAGAAGTCATCCTTCAAAGCTTTCCTAAGATCAAGAATGAGGCATTGCTTTTTAACACCATATTGGAAATCCTGGCTGATTCAATAAGAAAAGAAAAGGAAATAGAAGGTACACAAATTAGGAAGGATGCAATAAAACTGTCTTTTTTACCATATGACATGATCAACTTTGAAGATAATCTCAAAGAACTGGAAGAAAAACACCTCCTGGAACTATTAATAATAAATGATTATGGCAAGGTTGCAGTACACAGGTGAGTAGATAAAAATTAACCATTTTCCTATACACCAGCAATGAACAAGTGGAATTTGAAATTAAAAACACACCATTTACAGTAGCACCCCCCAAAATAAAATACTTAAGTATAAATCTAACAAAATATGTACAATCTTTATGCGGAAAACTACAAAACTCTGATGAGAGACCAAAGGAGACCTAAGTAAATGGAGAGATTATCCATGTTCATGGATAAGAAGACTCAATGTTGTCAAGTTGTCAGCTCTCCCAAATTAATCTAGAGATTTATCACAATTTCCATAAAAATCCCAGCAAGTTATTCTGTGGTTATCAACAAGCTGGTTATAAAATTTATATGGACAGGCAAAAGATCCAGAATAGCCCACTCAATATTGAAAGAGAAGATGAAGTCAGAGGACTGACACCACCCAGCCTAAGACTTACTAAGAAACTACAATAGTCAAGACTGTGTGACTGTGGCCAAAGAACAGACAAATAGACCAATGGGACAGACTAGAAGCCCAGGAATATAAATATAGTCACGTAAATATAGGAACGTAAATATAGTCAACTGATCTTTGGCAAAGGAGCAAAGGCAATTCAATGGAACAGTGACAGTCCCTTCCACAAATAGTGCTGGAATAAATGGGACATCCACATTCAAGGAAATGAATCTAGACAGAGATCTTACACACACAAAAATAACATGGATCACAGTCCTAAATCTAAAGTGAAAACAATAAAGCTCCTAGAAGATAACATAGGAGAAAACTTAGATGACCTTGGGTATGGCAATGGCTTTTTAAATGCAAGTCCAAAGGCATGATTTGTGAAAGAAATAATTGGTAATCTGGACTTCATTTAAATCAAAACTTCAAAATATATACATATCTATGTCTATATCTACCTGTTTTCCCTGATTATAATAGCACTATCCATATCCATATATGTTATATATAGATACATATATACACATATATAATACATATGTATGTATACATATTTTATATATATATATGGATGGGATATGTATGTGTGTAATATATATATATATACAGTATATAATCTATTAGGATATTAGGTAGTATACATTAAATAATATGATATAATACATAATATATGTGCATTATATGATTTATGTACAATAGCACTATCCATATCCATACTATAACATATATATCATATTATATGAGTATTATTTATATTATTTACATTATATATTACACACACACACCTAACTCTTTGAAAACAAAGTTTGCAAATTAAACTCTTTTTTAGGGATCTGCTTCCTAAAGTTGTTCCTATAGACAGGTGGGGAATCCACAGAATATTAACATGCTATCCTTTAATGACTGCATCTGTGATTAGACTTGCAGCCACAACGACTGATTTCTTAAGAATCTAAGTGTTTTTAAATGGTAGCATTCCACCCAGAGGTGATTTTACCTAGACAAGGTAAGTACTGCAGGTCCTCGAATAACGTAGTTTCATTCAGCGTCATTTCATTATAACATTGACCAGATGTTCTAGGAATTGTACTCTTGCTTAGATCAATTAGCTTACAGTAAAATTGGTTTTGTTAGATGTCCTTCTGCCACAGTTCCAAGAATCTATCGCTGACATGAAATGAGGGTACTGTACCAAGACAGTGGTGTGTGTGTGTGTGTGTGTGTGTGTGTATGGTATATAAACTTCTATTATATTAATGCTTGCATTTATGTAGAATCGGTTCCTATAATGGAGATTTGCTGACAAATATTGTATATTTGTTTTAAAAAATGATTCAGGCTTCCACCAGCAAATAAGGGAGCACCAGATATGGTCAACCTTTAAATTTTTACCAATTCTAATATGTGACAATTTGTGCGTTGTTCTAGTTTAAATTTGCGTTTCCATGACAAGTACAGGATAAGCATGATTTCATGTTAATTTACAGTTTGTATTTCCTCTATATGAATACCCTGTTCTTATCCACTGTCTTAGGTTGTTTGTCTTTTAATGATCAGTTTTTAAATTTTATTACATATTAGGCATTTTTTAAAATTTCTATGTTTTATTTCAGGTGTATCCCTCATATAATGCATATTTTTATAGAGTGAGTCTTATTTTATAGTTTAAAATAATACATATTTACTGTCAGATATTATTATGCTCCTTTTCATTTTACAAACTTTGTTTTGTAGTTTTGGTATATGAATTTTAGTATATAAAAGACAACTGATTTAGAAGTGTTTTTCAAAAAATATTAAAATTGTATTCTCTCTCAATATAAACAGCAAACGTATCTATTGTCATTTGATATAAGAAAAGGGATTTATCATCCTTTTTACTTTCAGTCCTCCAATAGCCACGTGCTTTGCATATTATTTGTTTGCAGGTGAAATGTGTTATGGCAGTGTCTCTATATTACAGTAACTATCTAGACATCACTAAATAGTTCAGTACTTAATAATAGTCATTTTATATCACCACTTGTTTATTAGTATCTTGTCCAGCTGGACTAATTTGAGAGTCAGCCTTTTGTTGCTATTGCTTTAGATAAGGAAGTTGTATCCTTTTTGGGCTCTGCGTATCTTTATTTTCCTTGGCACGTTCAATAATACTTGCCTAGGTCTAGGATTGTGGGTTCATGCTCTTGATTATCACAAATCTCAGGAGAAACTGGTCAACTGGAGGTAAAAATTGGTGAAAAGTTGGAGGGTAGCCTAATTTTATTTTGTTTTATTAGAAAGCCTACGTCCTTGTTCTTCCAGGAAGGATGCTTGCTTGAAAAATTTCTCCTTGGTATACCCTAGTGTTTGTCTCTTGCTATTATTGTTGACTCATAATCAACAGATTATTTTTTTTAATGCAAAATAGATCTCTCTTCAATTCTGGAACTTTTGCTTCTATTTCATTTGTTATTTTTTTTCTTCAGATTCATTTATTATTCATAGATTAGCTCTCTGGATTCTGTCTATGGTATCAATTACCTTCTCTTAATTGTATATATGCACACATACACAGATTAATAGGTGTGTGTGTGTGTGTGTGTGAGAGAGAGAGAGAGAGAGAGAAATGCTACAGATAAAAAACAATGTAATAATGAGATCTTTATTAGACTAGACATGGCTGAGGAAAGAATCTCAGGGAATTAAATTCCACCTCTTGAAAGGAGGCGTGTCAAAGCATTTGTGGGCATGTGTTAAAATGACCACACCGCTGCTCTGCCATCCCGTGACCCAGAAGGAAGCATGTGGAAGGGATCAGCCCAGCCACTCGCATACCTGTGAATCAGA